TAATGTTATATTTTTCGCTTCAACTGCTTGTGGAAACCTGATATGAAGGGTGCCGGATACTGTTGATTCTCCCACTCCTAAATAACCTCTTTGAAACGAAGTATTCTCTGGGTGGAATGAGAAAAACATTCGAGAATCGGTTTTAACATAATCTGATGGTAAAGGCGTTGAAGCCGCAAATGCTGCCATCATCGCCATGGTTATATATTTTTATATCGGGAAAGAAAATTTTTTTATTAGAAAAAGATACTTCGAATTACACAAGATTGAAATGGTTTTGGAGGAAATCGATTTTAAAAATTGATATTTATTAATAAGAGAATTTTGACAGAACAGAAGATAATACAGTAAGTATATTTGTAGTTTAACATGTAAATTTGTAATTATTGTATTTAACTACTTTTCTATTTGAAATGACGATTTATAAAAAGCTTCGAATTATTGAATACAAGTAATTTTATAATATTTTAAATAAAAAATAAAAAATTTCATTTAAAAAAATAAAAAAAGTTTAAACCCTATGAAAAAAGTTGTACAGGTGCATACTGAAATCATACAGTTTTTGTAGTTATTTCAATTTTTCATTACTAAAGATTTGTAAATTAAATTAATTAATTTTTTACAAAAATTGCAAATAATAACACTGATATTTAAAACCTTTCTTGGCGTTCAAAGAGAAGACAAAAATACTATCTATGATAATCATACAAACTTTATTCACTAGTACAGTTGATTTTCCTAGCTCAGATATTGTAGGAAAAATGTGCTAAAAATTTGAACGTACAGGTACTAGGGTTATTTTACGTTTTGGCATCTTGCACAGTCCAAAAATAGTAGTGTTTTTTTTTGGCACAAAAACCACACAAAAACTGCATGGGAATTTTTTTCATAGGGATTAGGGAATACGAATACGATCGCTTTCGGTCGATCCTTTTTTGTTGTTTTGCTTAATATTCTTCCACTTAGTCGCACATTGTTCGGCAGAATAGTTGTAATTGGAATTAAGTAACATATTCGATGCATCATCCCATAATTTGCGTTTAACTTTCATTGCTGCAATCCCTCGCATTTTTAATTGCTCAACGTCGTTTATCCGTCGATCCAAAAAATCAAGTAATAATAGCTCAGAAACAACCGTCCACCTGTTTTCATTGGATTCGGAGTATGTCATAGCCGCAGCTAAACAGAATGTGGAGATTATTATTTTTAGATTAAGGTATAAACAAATTCTTTCAGTAGGTTTAAGTGTTCTGCAGTTAAAATTACGATTAACTTCAATATTTGGATGTCTTCTTGATTCAAGTTATCTTGAGAACTTTGAAGAAATACGTCACTCGCAAAATTAATCATTGATTAAAACGAGATTTTGAATAGATGTTAAAGGAAAAGAAATGTATTTATACGAGAATAAGTGGATAATAAATAACCTTAGATACATTTAAATTTGATTTTTTTTTTTAATTTTTGAAACTCAGGGATGTCTATTTTAAAATATTTGCACAATAGGAGGAGGAGGGTGTGACATTAATTGATAAGTAAATGACGGCACTATCGTAAACTTTAGGGAATTTCATTGTTTTTATTTTTAATTTAGGCAGGACGATCTTCTAAAAAAAAAAGTTACCAAAATAAAATCCTACCCCAATATTTTAAAATTCAATGGTTTGGCTTCTACTTTTCAGTTAAGTAAATGAAGTTAAAAAAAAAAATTGATAAAACCAAAGGATAAAATAATGTCTTTTTTTACTAGCTAGTGAGGCTTGAATCCACCCGCTGTTACAACCGGAACAAACCATCAGATCGAGAAACTTAAAGAAAAAGAGCCAAGATATTTGGACAACAAATCGTATTATCGCGTAAATAGCCAATTAATTATTGATTATATTTAATTTAAAGGCTAATTATAGATTGTAATCCTGAAACCAACTCGAGTACAAAATCCAATATCTCAAATAATGGACGTCTTATATCCCTTTTAAATTCTTTGTTTGCGTAAGAATAATAGTGCTATAGTGCTATATAGAGTAATATGAAAATCAGAAAACAAGTAAAATGTATGGTCACGTGTCATTATGCATGTTGTGACCATCTTGGTTATTATTTAACAAAAAAGGATGTATGTGACCCCACACCATATCTTCATCTGGCGGGAACAGTCATTATTCCGGTACTTTGATCCCGAACCGAAACCAAAATCCCGAAATGAATAATGCATAAATTAGTTAATAAAAGAATTTCAAAAAAATATACTATTTAGTTATTTCAATTATCTATATGATAATTTTTTAAAAAATGTTTTACATAAATTTCAATAAAATTTCAAACGAACTTGTTTATATCTCAGAAGAAATTAATTCCAACACAAAATGCCCCCTTCGTAAAAAATTAAACATGTTAGAAAGGCTGAGATCACTAACTTGATATATTGAAATTCCAGAATTCTTTAAATGGAGATCCTTTTAGGATCCTTTGATTTACTACAAAAGGCAATTCCAATCATTTTTTATTTAGCTATGCTCCTATTGGCGCAGATAATACATGACAGCAAAAAAAAAAAAAAGAGTTATATCAATGATTATTTCTTATTTCAAGATTTAAAGAGTTTTCCTAAGAGAATAATGTTGAATTAAGACCTTTGAAAATTATTACAGATTTTTAACTAGCTACCCAATATGGCACCGATAGTTTAATGTTTACATTTATTTGATATTTTGAAGCAAGCTATATTTTTTGTTGCAATAATAATAATATAGTTTGTCTTTTTCACCTGAGTTATGATCTGTATTAGGAATTCCAAGAACAAATATCAAGTTGAAAGATTTGTAAAGAGGGTTATAATAAAAATATATCTAATGCTGAATATTAGTAAAGGATTTTTATACAATATTTAAAATCAATGGAATTTTTTTTTTTTTATTAATTAAATCGGGATAAAATAATTTATCTGCCAAAATTACAATAATTAACAAACTTTGGTCGATTTCATCATTCGCCTAATAAATTACTTTTAAAAGATTGACGCTAACCGTCCAATCAACCCTTTAATCTACAACGGATTATATTTTCTCTTGTGCCAATTAAAATTTAAAAAGGTAACGTCAACTGATAATTCACAACATGACAGCACCGTCATTGACCTATTATGTGCAATCGTCAAAAGCTGTGCCACTTGTACATAAAATCATTTTATCCTAAAAACGATCAAATAAATAAAAAAAAATCGTCATGGATATTTCTTATGACAGACATGGTAAACTTTACGTTAATTAACTAAATAGGTTCCAGTAAATTCGAGCGATTTAGTTTCTCCCATTTCACATTTGACAATCACTTGATAAATACTATTGAAATTCACACAACAAATAAAAAAAAATCGAAATGTAATCATACATGATTAACAATTACATAATTTCTTTGCACCAAAATATGGGTGACCATAGTCTCTAAAATGGGTTTTTGTTTTATTTGAAATGAAATAATTTACATAAAAAAATTATTTAAAGTTTAAGATTGTGGATGTCAAAGTATCTTGATTGAAACTAGTTTAACGAATTTAAAAAGTAAAATAATATAATGAACTTACATAAAGAGTTAAATTTTTTAATTTAATATGATCAAGTATGGAAATCAAGTATGTCGATTTTAAAGAAAAGACCCAATTACTTTCAAAATATCCTTTTTACTTCGCCTTTTTTGATAATTCTTTAAATTTTTTTTTGTTATCAAATTGCATCATATGATGAT